AAACTGTTTATCTGACTTTAACACATAGGCTTTGGATCCTAGTTTTGCCAAAGCAGTAATAGCTCTACAATACAAGCTGTACATTGCCACTCCACAATGTTTTAAAGTTACTAGAATCCATCTTTTTAAAAAACTGACATGTGTTTACAACTCATTTTAAAAAGCTAATAATACTCTCTGAATTTGTCAGCCTGAGTCATTAGAGATTTTTAAATTAGAAAAATAGTAGAGTTGATTTGAGTCAACAGAACTATTTAGCTAGCCCAACCCAAATGACATTTTTGTCAGCCAACTTTGTCATGACCCAAACTAATTAAAAATCATAATCAAACTAAAATTAGAAGGGACTTCATTTAATCCAGTCCCCCAAACGGCATACCTGTAACATTCCTGGGAGATATTTAATCTGTTAAAGGCATCCAGTGATGGAAACTTTTCAATGCCCTCCAGGCAATCTTGCTTAAATGCTTCATTATCATCACCACTGGAAAATCTGCCTAACATCTACTTTGGAATTATTTTCTTGCCGCAATTTAAGCTATTTTATGTCTGTAATGGACAAGAAAACAGACAATTTCCTCAAGCAAGAGAGAGAGACAAGAAATTATTTATGCCTACACCAAACAGACTCAAGTTCAGTGTTTTGCAGTGCTGCCATTTTACTGACATCACCACACAGCAGTGACATAGACTTCATGAATATGTGGCACGCCTTCTTTTTCAGGGAAAGTTCACTTAGGTTTTTGCTTAGCTTCTTTCCCATCAAAACCAGCACAAAGCCTATGAAGGCATGCCATGTTAAACTGCAGGCAAAAATTACAACTGCTACCTTTTGACAAAAGCTCGGCTTTTCTTCCCCCAGCATCTAAACAAACCCCAAGCTAGAACAACAGACAAGATGCGGGACACCATGGAGTGCACAGCAGTTTGGGAACAATTCTACAGAAGCAGGCTATGGGGAAAAGAGAGAGGAGGGATGAGGATTTCTGTTTAGAAACATGAAGTTCTTACAGTAGGAAGAGATTAACATTTAACAAGCACTTCTTTAGCAATGCTTCAGAAGCAATTACTTTTACACTCTACTTCTGAATCTTTATTAGGAAATATTTCTAATGAAAGGCTGTTTTAGAAAATTGCTGCTGTTCACTTGCCTTTTCAGGGATTTCAAAATAGTAGAGTATCTGTTTCCCAATCTGTGGTTAGCTAACTATTCAGAAACTCCAATTACATGGTTACTGGGACAATTCTACTTTACTTTCAAAGGAGAGCAAAATATCTTCTCAGAGAACCTAGAAACACCCACGAGGTCTTGAACATGTTCAAAGACAAATATTAACTATGATGCTGTTCAAAAACAAAGAACAATCCTACATCAATGCCAACTCCAAGATCTTATCTGCAGCTTCCTATACAGAGAGGACAAAAAAAGAAATGTTCAAGATTGGTGCAAATTAGTCAACACGATACTCAGCTAGAGTCTGAAACAGCAACAGTTCTCATGCAAGTGTTACTCAGCAAAACATCCGAGCACGCGCACGCACTTCGGCTCTAAAACATCACCTCAACAGACCAGAGCAGGAGGATATGACGTAAGATCAGCAGTGGCCTGCCTCCCTCTCAAAAGCAGAAGAAAAATATCAGTGGAAACTTCATGTACTGTAACTGGATAATAGTGGGTGCTTCCTGCTTCTTAGTTGCTATTCTGATCTGCTGGATCAGAGGGGATAATCGCTCCAGGAGGCAGTGCTTTATACCTGCCAATCAGTTGCTACACAGTGAGCTATGAAAAATTGACCTTCTAATCTTTAAGGGTAAGGACGGTTCTAAGCATCCACTGGAGGCTCCACTTCCCCACCACAAAAACACAAATGCTTTAAGCGAATACTACTGCTGAATATTTTGTATTGTGAAGCTAGAGCCAAAATTATTACAAATCACTGAGTTCTCTATCAGATAATCCTATATATCTGTATGTTCGGCAGTTTGCCAAGCTACGCACATAAGGATTCATTAATGTTTTCTTCCATTTTCTTCCAGCACTGCAGCTACAGGTTTGCATTACTTACTCCCCTCTGCTTAAGGAACCATTTCTTAAGCTGCAGGGCCGTATCTTTGAAGGGACGACCAGAATATACTGCTGTAACAAGCCATGTCACATCCAATATCATTCAGCTTCCATGGCAATGGCATTTAAGCATTCCCTTTCCTTCCTGTTCCTGCAGCACTTTGCCGCCTTATACTTGTTTGGACAAATGTTTGCAGGGCCAAGTTGTAAACAGGGAAAAGAAAAGCTGCTGACTATATGTTTTTAGAAACAAGCAATTTAAATTGGATCAGTTCAAACGGATCTGAAATCCAGTTCTAGAATGGTCATATAAATAGTTTCTCTGGCACAAAGGAAAGAGGGAGGGAAAGGACAACTGAAAACTGCTTAAGTCAATACTGCTGCTGAAGCTCCTTGCCACACTCCTATGACTCAGGCCATCAGCAGGGGTACAGCATAAGACAGGTAAATTAGAACTTATCTAACTATGGTAGCTGACTTGGGGGTTCAAAGCAGACATGAGTCAAGCCAAGATACGCGGGCAACACTGGCTTTTTAAAACACTTAGATACACTGGGAATTGTTAAAAATAAAACATAATTTAAGTTACACTATTAGCTTTAGCAGAAGTCCTGGCTGCCACCAAAAGCAGCTGCCTTTTTCTTCCCTTTTCAATGCCACTGGTTTCCTCTTCCCGGCACTTCCCTCATTCTCCCCTGCATATTCTCAGATTTTAGCTAACAAGCTAGGAGCCACATAAGCACAGGGCAAGTGGATCAACACAAGTGCCACCACAAAGGTGGGAGCAGAAATGGATCTGGCCTTCTCAACAACAGTCACTGTCAGCATGGTTTTAGGTGATGAGGAAACTGCACCCTGACTCAAGACCATGACTTTACCACCTGTAAACTGCTCTTGATAGAAAGCTTAAGTTCTATTCAGTAGAACTTGAGTGTACAATAAAAATATTTCACCGTCTAATTGCATCCACTTAGGTTTTTCAACATTATACAAGGCTTCCCTTAAATGTAACCAAATTCTGTACGGAATAGGCTACTTCTGAACATGTGTCTTATTACCTTTGCCATACAGCACACCCTAGTCTACAAGCAAATCTCTCTGAAACAGCCCTCAAAAACTGAAATTCTACTCATTCAGGGCTTGTTTATGCTTGATAGAGTGACACAGATTAAGTACTTTGAAGCTGTATAACCTATTTGTTAAATATCAGGTTAATCCAAGCACAGAAGCTATATAAGTCAAACTCCTCCCCTTGCCCAAAGACGACAACCTTTACCTCAGGAGATCTTTCTTTACCGCAGATGATCTTCATTCCTATATACAAGCTGCAGTTCCTTCCTGCAGGCAAACCATCCCCACCCATCTCTTATTACATGCAACCACCTATCTGTCCCTCTCCACTCACCCCAGCAGATGCCCTCGCCGTTTCCCCATATTCTGTGGGGTCATGACAACTGTGTAAATTAAGCTCTGTACATAATGACTATTCCTTCACTCCTTCCAGGGAACAGTACAGGCCAGAAAGAAGCATCCCCTGGGCAGCTGATAATGCCACTGTGTTTAAATTAATGGGGACAAAGCACATTTTTTCAACTAAAACTCAGCCCATACATAGAATTCATCAGGGACATACTGTAGACAAGTAAACTGAAGTCGCACAGAATTTAAGCCTGAGCTTGCATGTTCCAGAACTGGTCTTTGTAGCCATCTAAGACAAGAAAAAATATTACAACTCCTAAGAAAAAACTCTATGCTTAGCATAGGTCCCAAACAATATAAATACTTTTTGAAGTTTTAATCACAAGGAAACTTACAGTCACAGTATTAATACTAACCTCACCATGAGAATCACACTCTTCGTACATGAACTTGTTATCATGGAGAGAAAAAGCAATAAACATGGGGAAAAAACTGTGGAAAAAACCAAGCTTGAGCATTTAGGTTTTCTTATCGTTGTTTTAGAATATGTCCAAACTCATGTAGGAGATTCTATTTTGAACAAATGACTTGTTGGCTGCCCTAATTCTACAGGTCTAATACACAAGCAGGTTATTAGCTACTCTCCACTCCCCAACACAGATCAACAGCTGTATCATATATTAGGTAACTTTTAAATGGTAAAAATACCCATACACTAACAGTGAATTTGAACATGTTACAAAATATTTTTGCCTGTTACAATAATTTTCTTTTGTCTGGAAACTAAATCCTGATATTTATAAAGCTGCATATGAAATTAGATCTATTACTGCAGTTCCACATTACAAAAGCCAATTTGTTTACTGAACTACTTGTTTATCATGACATCAAATAAGCAGCTGACTAATTAAGTTTTCTCCAGCAATTCATTTTCATGTGTGTTTTAAACTTGCCTTATGTAAAATAAAATCTTACCTTTATTAGTAGGACTGCCACAATGTATTCCACTTACGCTTTGGACAAAAATATGTTGCAATGCACTATATATGCAAATAAGCTTTGTTCTGTCATGCAGCATCCGGCACCTGATAGACAGTCAATTGCAGCAGCACCCAGTCTTTTTAGGGCCCATTTTCTTTGCACAGCAGATGTAAACAGCTCATTTTCCAGTAAATACACGTTTACATGGGTTGATTGTAAGTAAACAAAGCCAAACATCTGTTTAGTTATTAGTTTTGGTATCCATTTCTCTAACTTGCATTATCCCACTTAATTATCAACACCAAAGAAAGCTAGTAGAAGTCAGACACTTCAAGTTGATGCGGTTAGTACAAAAAAGAAAAATAAAAGGGAACACTCAAAGCACTCTTCAAAGACCATCATGCAAAGTGTTGCAGAAAGTTAAGCCCATCACCCATTTTCTGTTTACCCTTGCAAGGACTTAATTACACGTGCAGCAGTCTTTGCATAGCACCCATTTAATCCATGCCACCAAAATGGTAAACTTGGTAGTTACCAATCATTTAGATGGGGGTCAAAAGGGCTAATGCCTTAGATTGCTCTTAATCATAAGATATCCTCAGACAAACCTCCCCAGTCTTCATTCTGGCTCTACAAACACAAAATCAAGCAGCAGTGAAAATGTAATACCAACTACTTATTTAAAAAAAACCCCAAAACAAAAAAACCAACACCCACCCAATTATTTTACAGCTTATTTCCATTCAAAACAAAAGTTAGAAAATATTCTAAACTACATACAGAAGTAAATTCAGTTATTTCAATCAAATATGTTTCAGCTATTGTTATTCTTTAAGTTAATGCAATTTTATTAGGTCCTACTAAAAGTCCAGTTAAGAAAGCAAACAACAGAAATGCATCAGTAAAAAACATCTGTTCAAAGACTCCAAGTAGATGCATTAAAAAACCTCTTAAGTTTACTCTTCATTTCTTAACAAGATAAAGGATATTAGTACCTTAAAAGAGTAAGTTCTAGAGAGTTGTTTAGAAAGATTCATCTGTGCTTGAAGGAATATTAATTCAAGGATTTTTTTTAAAAGAGAACTTAAGATCAGTTGTTCATTATTATAACAGATTGAGAGCGTAATACAATAGGATGCTACCAAATTTACATATATTTAATTCAGTGACTAAGTTCACACAGTACTATCACTAACATTGATATCAAAGTAAGATTTATTCCATGAAGGGAAATAAGAGTTTCATTCAACTTATCTACCTACCATCCCTGAAGTAATTTAAACAATTTAATTCAAGAGCTATGTAATCGTATTTGCTATTAAGTCATCATTGTTACTTGCTGAGCTGTATGTGATAAGCCAGTCATTTTCACGCAGTAATGTCTGGTGCAAGAAGTTGAACATTTTCACTTTAATTCCTCTGTTAATGAAACACACTTAGATTTCTCAAAGAATCGTTAACAATAGGTCTTCTCAGACTTTTTTTTTTGCCTTTCTAAAATAAAAGTTTCAGCATAAGGTTTAAAATATATACACTTTTAATGCATCTTGATATCCATCACCAGAACTACTACTGTTGCTAGACAGCTTGGCAACAAAAAACATAGCTTCTCCCTTAAAAATAATAAATAAAAGCCCCAAAACACATACCAGCAACGTGCCTGACATCTGTACAACACACAGATAAGACCACAAAGAAATGAGAATCTAAAAACCAAGCACAATGGGATGCCTCCTGGGGGCATTCATATTCTTTTCACCTACTATTCTGTGGCACTCTAAAACCACCTTCACAGGTAGTGAGAATTTTAGGAAAGGGTAGTAGCACTGCAACATGACACATCAGCTCAGACAATTCTCAGACAGAGTAAAAATGGAATTTTCTCCTCACTATCTCAAGGTTCAAACATTAACATTGCTCTTTTCAGCACTGTGCCAGATTCAGGGAACATGTTCTATTAAAATGCAGATTAATACACTCATTCAGAAAGAGCATCTAATTTTGAAGATAAGATACTCCTTACTGTCAAGCAGTCTTCTGCAATTCTTCATTGAATTTATTATGTTTATTGACCAAAAGCACACGACTAAGCTCCTGAAAACAGCTATGGCATATGCAGCTGTGCTAAAATTTTCATTGTATCACCCTGATGCAGTGCTTCTACAGACTGCAACAGAAGACTATCACTGGAGAAAAATCTGTCAGTTCAGTGTACAGATAAGAAATATACCCTTAATAGAATTATAATCTATGAGGAGCTTGGTGTACCATTAATACAGCCCCAACAGTTCTACAAGAATTGCTTGTATCAATGAATGATCAACTTCATAGGTAGTTTTGTGAAGTGGATGTTGTTGATCACTATTGGAATTCACAGAGAGGGTACTGAATAGTTATGACAGCAAGGACTTCACTTATACTAATTTGTCTTACTTACAATTGAAACTTCCTAATGTTTCAATTTGCACAGCTGACTGAATGCATACTTAACACTTATATGGAAGACTCCTTCCTCACAACTTGCTCAGTCTTAAGAACTTCTAATCAGCATTTTGATTTCTTGAATAAGATCACTCACATCTTACATGCATACACACTGAACAAAAAAGTCAGGAAAAAAGGAGAATATTATGGAGACAGATTTACTAAAATGGCATTTTAAAGGTCTGAACAAAAGCTGCTCAGGTGAAAAGCGGACTGCTTTCTATCATTTACAATTCATAAAGCCAAGGATAGATTAAGATTTGACAACACGTTTCTGGAAAGACAACTGGATTTCTAAAGCATTTAGAAATCACAGCCTGCAAATCTATGATAAGTCCTAAACATCATGACACATCCAGAAAAAGCAAGAAACTTCACGAAGAACATTAAGATACCGAACTGCATTTTTTCCAAAAAGAATCAAGAGACTCACATATAGATCAGTAAAATATTTAAGTTACCAGAAAAAAAAGCAGCCTGAGAATGGGAAGGGGGTGAAGTATGATACAATAACTTCCTGGATACTCAATGCTGCTTTTTCAAGACAACGTTTAAATCTGAAAAGGTTAACTTCCCCTCCCCCCATTCCTACTTGGGAGAAAAAGAGAGATGCAGGTTCTACTGCTGATTTTTCTGGACCAATTCCTATTGCTTTCAACAGAAGAGTATGATTTGGTAAGTATTTGCAGAAAAGCCTACTCCACAGTACGAGGAGAGTCCAAAAACAACCATTAAAAATATGGAAACACCTTTGATATCAAGGTTTACAGACCTGTGTGCTACTATTAAATTTGCAACTAGTGGTCTTTAGAGGTTTGTTCCAAAGAGAAGCAATGTTCCTATGATTCCTGATCACATGTATTCTTACAGTTCATTCCATCTAAAGTCCAGCTGAATTTATACTAGGTATTTATGAAGCTATGAGATTACTTCTTCAAAAACTGTTGGCAGGTTTTATCAGTGATTTTATAAACTCAATAGTCTATAGTACAGTCAATGACAAGCAAGATAGCCATAAACATATGTATATATGAAGTCAGAAATGCAGTTCTATGAAGATTTTAAGTCACTTTTTACTTGAACAGAATGCTACAAGAAGCAAAGTAATTAACACAAGACATACACAAAGAACAGACGATAGCATGACAAGGCTTGGAACTTTAACTGACACCTTTGGAAATACCACGCCTGCAGTTCCACACAATCAAACGCTTCATAACTTTAGCATCTCCTTTCTCTCCATCCTGCAAACGCTGAATTTAAGCAGCAGTGTAGCTTATAACCACAAGAATAACCCGTATCATAACTGAACAACAAAAACTAATTTTCCTAAGACAAGGTGCAAATAAATTCTTCCAAAGTGAAGCATATTATATATACAATGTTACAGAGCACCACTGTAGTCAAGCACGTATACAAGGCCTACTTCATTCAAAAAATAACCACCTGTTCAACTGATGTGGGAAAATGAACACAAAATCAACTGACCTCTTCACTTAGGCCCAGTATGCTTTACCTTGTTCTTGCGTAATATGTTTTGTGACAAACTATGCCACTCTTTAAGAACAAGCAATTCAACTTTTTATTCCTAAGACGGGGGGGGGGGGGGACCTCTCACACTCGAAGTATCTTACAAAAAGCTATTTCCACGTGCATGCATTTCCTCACCTACTACTTAAAAAGCACCTACGTTTTGAACAGCACAATTAAGAAAACATGCGATACCTCAAAAAGAAAGTAATTATGTCAAATGCACATTCCCAAATTGGACTTATTTATTCTGCTTATGTACAGAATTTACCTATCACAAAAAAACAGAAATAGTTTCATTCCAGGTTCTTAAATACTGTCTAGAACCAATGCCATAAACAAGCTCACTTTATTTTTGATCAATGTATCAGAGTCAATACCTTCAATATAAAACGACAAGGCATACACTTCATACTTAAACCAAAAGATCAAACAATCTAACTGCATTATAACCTCTTTCCTGCTACATATCCAACATCCTTCAGGGACTGAGGTCTGAAATGCATTTTACAAAAGCGTCAGCTACCAAAACACTACCACAACTTACTGTATCTTCTATGAGTTGGGAGGGATTCCAAATCCACAAAGATGGTAGCTATCTCCTAATCCTTAAATAACGAACTAACAACATATCCTTTTTTTATTCATGGTAACTCTCATAGCTCCCCATACCTATCTTCTAAAATGTAATTACAGATCATTATCTGTGCCTAAAATCAAGAACACACATGTCTTAAGAACTGTAGTCTTAAACTGACCAACCAAGCTGACTACATGAAACCGAGCCAGAAGTTATACATGAAGAACAGATGGCAATCAAGGCAGTCAGATCCCCATTATAATAAAGATTCCTGTTTCACATTGAGAGGAATACAGGTATAGCCGAGGCAAATAATGTCACTGCTGACTTAGGAAGGCAGTCTATTTCAGTAGTCTATATTTAAGAGCTAACATTAAGTGAAGACTGAATTAATTGCATTAATCATGGTAAGTTTCTCAGGAGGCTAGTAAGAAACAGGTGCTTACAAAGGCTGTTTCCTAAACCAGACAAAACCCCTTATACTCCCACCCACTCCACGCTTAAGTATCAGGGATTTGCTTTTGTCACTGCTAATGCTAACATTCCTTTATTTTGTCGTAACTCAAGGACAACCTAATACCATCTCTGCACTATTACGCATACCTTCAAACCTTCAGTTTCCAATTAGCACATTTCATCCGCAAGAGGAAAATTTTCATGGCAGATGCAGGAAATTCACCAAATTTTCATTTCCAAAGATGCTCATTCTAAAACTAAAAGCTTGAATCTATATAGCAACCCTTAGCATCTAGCGCAAGTCAGCTGACATTAACAATTTAAGCACCCTTCTGGATATAGGATGAGGTGAGGGCTTGAAATAGTGTCCTGGTTTTGGCTGGGATAGAGTTAATTTTCCTCCTAGTAGCTGGTACAGTGCTGTGTCTTGGATTTAGGATGAGAACAATGTTGATAACACACTGATGTTTTAGTTGTTGCTGAGCAGTGCTCACACTAGTCAAGGACTTCTCAGCTTCTCTTGCCCTGCCAGCGAGAAGCTGGGAGGGGGCACAGCCAGGACAGCTGACCCACACTGGCCAAAGGGATATTCCACACCATGTGACGTCATGCTCAGTATATAAACCTGGGGGAGTTAGCCAGGGGGGCTGACTGCTGCTCGGGAAGTGGCTGGGCATCGGTCGGCAGGTGGTGAGCAATTGCATTGTGCATCACTTATTTTATACGTTCTTTTATCGTTGTTAGTATTATTATCATCATTTTCCCTTCCTTTTCTGTCCTATTAAACTGTCTTTGTCTCAACCCACGAATTTTACTTTTTTTTTTTTCCAAGTCTCTCCCCCATCCCACTGCGGGGGTGGGGGGGGAAGTGAGCAAACGGCTGTGTGGTGTTTAGCTGCCTGCCGGGTTAAACCACAACAAATAGCAAAGGAAATAAGGTTAATTGGTAGCATATCTACTATTCTTCATGTGGGAGGACTAGTAAATACTACCTGAGGCCAAACTGCAAGAGCCTAAGAAAAAAAACATTCACATAGCTTTTAGATTTTTGATCATGACTAAAATAGTGATGGAAACAAACAAGTGTGATTTGTTGATAGATCCTCTGGCCTTAATTATTGACATACCTCTTAAAAAATATATATATTTAAATATTTTAGATGTTCTGCAATCAACTACTAAAGGAATACACACACCCCCTACAAAAGAATAGTGGTGGACAAAATGGGGATAATTTCCAAAATACTTTTATAAAAATTACATAGGATGAATAACAAAAAGAATTTTCACTCGAAGCCAATGTTTAGGAACTTACTTCTACTTCAAATGAAGATGAGCGAGTCTGTATAGATTTGCTTTTAAATATATACATAACTGCCTGTTTTAGATATTAGAATTATTAACTGCTTGACTGCAGTGTTTTAGCACAGTAAATGACTATGAACTTCCAAGCACCACACTGAACTACTTGGACCATCAAATAAAAACACAGCAATTAGACTTTGAAGTGATAAAAAAAATCAGATCCTCTTTTGCATAGAACATATTTTGTTGCTAGTTTCATGCATTAAAAAATTTAAGTATCATGAAATCATGCACAGGATCTTTCAGTTGTTCCACACACCACATGTATATAACTCATGCAACAACATACTGCATCTGCCAATTCTCTTCTCTCAGTATAATGGAGTTGTTCATACAAGCAGAAAACCACCTTTTCAGAAATGCGTGCCTTTATAATCACTAGTTAAGTATTTAAAATTTCTATAGCAAACAAGACACAAAATTATCAAACAAGACACGTGACAGCATTCTTTTGATCAAAAGTATTTCTAGCAATCGATTTACAAGGAAGCATGGAAGCACTGGAATAATTAGTTTTTACTACCATTCAGATGGATAACACAGCCAGTATTGACGACTGACTATTGGTAAGTTATCAGGTGGTAATAAATGGGGGGGGTTAGGGAATGAATATTTGAACCGAGCACGTTATTGAAGAGCTAACAAGGAAGGAATGGTGAAAAAGGCTTAAAAAGTTAGTATGTTTCAGTCACAGAAACTCTAGCAGTTAGTAAGTGGACTGCACAGCACCAAGAACTTAATGACAAACTGAAGTAGGTGCTCAGAAACATAAGTACATCCTGGAAAACTGCCACAGAAAATACAAGTAGGCAAGGCTATTAAGAACTAATTCACTATTCAGCAATTTATGCCTCTGCATATTTTCTTTTAACATCACATAAATAGCTACTTAATGTGTTTGTAATGATTTTCCTTTGTGTAAGTATTCTGTACAGCTTTTAATCTTTAAGGTGCTTCATAAAGTAATGTATGTAGTGTTACTAATTAATAATGTTGTGTATTCAACACTGATTACTAATTTTTAAATTAGGCAATATGAGTTCTCAGGGCCAAATAAAAGTCCTTTTGTTGCACATAATTAGAATCTGATATGGTCAAAAACAAACACACAACAACCCTGCTAGAAATGGTTTGCATTTGGAATCAAACCACATTTCATTCCGGTAGCTTTGAAGTATTCTGGGAAGCAGAAATTAACTGAAAGTACCAAAAAGTCTCCAGTTGTGACACACTATTATTTTAACAACCCTCTTCATCAAGCTCAGCATGCACATAGCAGCAGTTGATATAAAAACCAACCTCTGCAGAAAAAGTCCAACTTTATTGGAAGCTCAATTTAAATATGAACTCAGACTTCTATGGATTTTATAAACTAAAAATCAAATATATGGAGTAGTTTTATACCTGATCAACAGTCAATATAATATAACTAAGAATGAAAAACAAGAATCAAACATAAGACTACAGTGGTGCTGTGATAAATGGTTACATTCCAATTTAATCAGAAAAGATTTAATAAACCTTGACATAACAGAAAATCTCAAAGAGATGGGGAAAGTAAGGCTAATCAGAACAAAGCTATCAGGGCAAGGGAAAAGTCTCCCATTGAAAAAGTGATACTTCCTTTTGCGTAAAATTTTTAACTTGAAATTATACCAAGTGTAAAAGAGAATGTTAATTGTTTGGATAGAAAATCAGTAATTAATTCCTAGAGGTAGAATGCATTTTTGCTTTAGAAGAGACCTAAGAAAATGGTAAAAACAAAATTCAGAAACAGTGAGAATGAGAAAAGATACAGTAATTCCATTTTATGTATAATTAACTGCATTTGCAGGAGACACTGGAATAGGTAACTAATCTGTTGTACTTGTTTTCATATAAAGAGGAGCAAAAGATTTTAAGAGAATAAACCAATTATTTCCCCTCCCCCTTTGTAAACTGCAATAGGGCTTCTGGTTGAGATAACTCCTTCTAAGAGTAAAGAAAGGCTCAACAAAAACTGCATCAGAACACAAGCAGTAAATAAGTGCATGCATTTCTGTCCCAGAAAAACAGGGCAGCAAATCTGTGTGTAATGGCTGACTTTTTGTTCATGACACTAACTATCTGGTGACATACAAGAACTTTAACATGCTGTGGATTTGCCTGTAGTCTGAAAGGATTACAAACACAACTACAAGGATAAAGAACATTATGTGTTTCCCCATCCTATTAATACCATGTTCAACAAAAAAGAGTACCAAGTGGAACACAGAATGCTTATATGAGAATTAAACAATTAACTCACAGGACGAAATAACAAATTGAAGGTTCACATAAAGGGAAAAAATAGAGGAGCTTACATTTATATAGAATCTTACCAGTGAACCTCAGTACATTTTAAAAAATTAAGGTTCATCATCCCTGTTAAACAGCATGTTCCACTAACTTGCACACAAGACTGATGATTCCCCCCGCACTCCAGAATTTTGTGACTTCCATTTAGACATTCAAAGACCTTAACACTGACCTCAAGACTACAGCAATTCAGTAAAAAAAAACCACAAACAAAACCCCAAAAACAAACCAGCATAGGATGGAGAAACATAGGGAAATGATACAAACTTTTTCTATACCATTGAAGCCCTTCCCATCAAACGTTTTCCGAAGAAACATGGTAGAAGTGCAACCTGTCTTGTCTTTCTTCAAAGTTAGTAATGAATAACAAAAGCATTCAAAGTGAAAAAACAAATATTCTTATAGTTCATTCTGTATGTTTCTATGGCAGTGCTATTACCACTTTGTTAACTTAAAAATCAGAAATGTTCCAGAGTAAGCAACCTATAGCAGAAAGGCAGGTCTTTAGAATAAGAACTATACCTGAATGAGTCTCAAAGAAGAGAGTCTAGCTTCTGGATTTCAGCAATGAAACAGTAAAGAAGTGAACATGCATCAGGTATGACAAAAACTAATGGTTGATTAATAAAAAGGAAGAAGTTAGACACACGAACAAACTAAGTTAAAGTAGCACGAACTATAATTATCTAGGTATACACATAAAACAGCCACTTGAATTTCTAGCAAAACACAAAGTCACAGTAGGTTACAATATACACAAGCCAAACAAAATGAAAAGAGCAGATAACATCATCATATTGCACAATTAGGACAACTAACTAGAAACTACATGCTAAGCATGCTAAAAAGCACCTTCTACAAGCTTAGAGAAACAGGAGCTTTTTCGAGTCACAGCCTACCATGCTGGTACTTTGGCCAGAGAAGTTGAATTTGCTTACCTCCTGTAAAAGATCTGCCTGTTCAATGGCTTTGAGAACATTTTTCTTGGAAGTCTCCTGAACTTCCCCTCCTAAAAGGAACTCATCCAGAATGAAATAGGCTTTTTCAAAATTGAAGATGATATCAAGTTCACATACCTAAAAAGAACATCAAGCATTATTGCAAAGTGGGAGGATACTATCTATTGAGGTATATCCTCTCACAAAACTTAACCTGTTCACAGCTTCACCAAATTTCATCAAATCAAGATGTTAGCATCAGGCTATAACCTTTTAAGAAATGGGGCAACAAAAAAAAAATCAGTCCTTTGAGAAAAAAAATTTAAAAATCTTTTTCTGTTTGAGTTAAAAACAGTTATAGCAACCTCTTTGAAAAAAGTTTTCATTGTTAAAAAGGTTTCAATTCACAACCGTCAGTATGACGTGGCTCTTCATGAGGCAAGAGAATATCCCTATAAAAGTTCTCTCCGTGCCTGCAGTATCCAAAGGCAGATCATGCAATCTTACAGTAAAATGTGAAAACACAATAATCTCAAATTTCTTATTCATCCTGTGCATTTCAGAGTCAGAAGGACTAGGAAGGCAGAAGGATGAGCAGCAGTTTTTCTAAGAGTGCTAATGTACACTACTACAGTTGTTTGTGCTTGCTACCTGGGTAAGCAGGTGTCTGTCTTTCCTTACCGCTCCTGCTAGTTCACAACCAACTGCCTCCTTTGGAAGCAGATGTAAGAAGCGTTCACACACTAGAGCAGTGCCAGGGAGAAGGAAAGCTGGGCGCCTAGACAGAAAGCTAAGGATAAGATTTTATCTGACCTCAAGTGAGACCACTACAAAATGAAATAAATACAGGCAATTAACACCCGATTAGTAACAGTTCTTCTCGCAAATTAATAATTTAATTTTGTATTTTAACAGTTGTATAGGCAACCATCAGTTTAGTTTGGCCAAGCAAGCAACATAAAATGTGTTAGATGCACCTTTTCAACAGCTAATTGATGATGTTTTTTAAAAGTGCTGTGGGCATAAAACAAAATGGCATAATATAAAGAGACTGTGAATCTATAAAAATTAAAAAGAAATTACTAACTCACACTGCCAAAATACTTGTCAAGAAGTTCTACATAGCGATGAATTATTTCCAGAGTTATTAGTTCATTGTCCTGATCTTCAATAGCACAGCAGAAATAGAGACTTGCATATCTGTAATAACAAAATAATCCTGATGTTAGCATAAGAACATGAGCAAAATGAATGCACTTGAGATGTATTATGTTCTAGTAGTCCTTCATACTCAAGTTTAGCATACTAAATGTTACCCTAAATCAACAGCCATGCAAGTTCTACCAAAGAATGGCTGAAAAGACCAGCAGACATACGCATGTACAAGAGGGATCTGCTTCCTTGAGTCAAGCAAGACCTCAGTCTTTACCATCCTTTAGCTGACGGAATTAAACTAACCTACGAGGTGGCTGGAAAAGGAAATGTATTTGATTTTTTGACCTCTCGGCAGAGTTCTGAGGCAAGATATTTTCTCCACTATCTGCAACATCCAAACACTGGTATACTAATCAACAGATTCAATCTTAATTTTTTATCACACAAGCTACACACAGAGATATTAAAAACTATAGAAAATGCCTTGGGAAAGATAAATTGAATTAGCGATTCCGATTTGGTCTTTACAGGGAATTTAACAAATGCCCAAAAAACTCCAAAACTAACACTAACGTCATATACCCCAATTGCTATTAAGTCAACAACCTGATCACTACCAACTGTCCTGGTATCAGACTAATGAGAGGCCATCAGCTAGTTTCTGGCAATCCACTTCCACCTTGGAAGACAGGGAATTCTTTATTTCAGATATGAGCTTGAGTTCCACCTTAACAAAAAGACCATCCAGTTCTACTGTGCTCTACCATACACTTGTTCGAGTCATGTTTAAAAAAGCTGATGCAAAAACAAAACAGGAATGAAAGCTGAAAAACCCATTTAGTCTTTTCTACAGTGCCAAAACCATATGCCATACAGACACACGGCACAAATGAGATTTCCAGTAACACCTGTTGTAACAGATAATTTACAGATAACAGATAATTAGATAGGACAACTGGCCACATTAAGCACTCTGAGTAGCCAGCCCTATTGAAAAAGAAGTCAGTCACGTGAATGCCAAGTTTAAGATGCATATTTGTTTCCCATACACAGAAATGCATACACCTTTTAAACGTTACGCATTATTTTATCAGCTGGGACTTTGTAAGCCCCCTAAGGAAACTCTTAGGGTTTTCCTGCAAACATTGTTGTATTTTGCAGTATGTTCAAATTTGCCTCCCAGCCGCTCACCTAGCATCATTTATGACCTGCAAGTCCCCCCACTCTCCTCTAGCTGAGTCAAATTGCTACAGCTTCATCATGAACAACTAATTGGAATAACTTTTATTCAGAAGTTTTAAACTATTATAAAAAAATTACTGCCTACGACTTCTTTCCATCCTACCACAAAACATGATGGGGGGGGAAGAGAGGAAGAGACCTCTATTGAAGCACTTAACACTTCAATTCCTTTGCTCCTTCATCTCCTCACCATGGTGACTCGTCAGCTCATCAGAAGTCCTATCTGAGCACAGTTCTTTTGATTTTACACGGTTGTGTTTGTGCCTCACTAATTTTTCAAGGACATTTACAGTTATTGTAGTAGCTTGCAAGATTCAATCTGTATAAGGCATTTTTTAGACAAAGCTATTTAAAAAAGTATTGGAAAGTGATACTATAAAGCAAAAATATGTTTCCAAATCTACTGAGGAATTTATAAGTCAAACTCCATGTCACCCGTATTTCATTGCAGAAAAAAAGAGCTTTGGCACATCAGTTGACATTTACGCTAATTACTAGCACTCAGGCCAAATCCATCTAAACAGAGCTTTCTTCATATTCAGACGAGCAGCACTGATTGTGATGAAGTGTAGTTAAACTGTTCCCTTACAGTGCTTAAACACAAGTTGAAACACATACCAGCAGACCTTATCAAATCAAATTTGACTCAAATATTTGAAATTTATCCACATGGGACAGTCCTTTTGTGCTTCCCTATTACTTAAGAGTCTCTTTTGATGCACAGAACTATTTTATGCAAATACCCGCAAAAAAGGGGGATCGGGGAGGGGTAGAGAGGGAGACTACCTAACATAAAATCCTTTCCCAAGAAGCGGTCTGCTCTCAGTGTCCTCATTTAAAAGAACACGTAACATACTTTTGAAAGACTTTATTTGGCAGCTAGCGAGTAGACTACACATTCAAGCTCTGCCAACTGCAGTTTTGGAGAAAGAATACTGAGAAACAAAAACTACTCAGTGGGCATCTTAACACAAAATGGAGGCCTGGGTATCTATCATTATATGCAGAGAATATTTTTCAAAGTATATTTAAGTAGCAACCATGACTAATGGATTACTACTCAACAGAAGAAAACAAACGAAGATTCAATAAGCCTACATGGCAAACAGTGGAAGAGTATAAACAAGTCAGCCATCATTGCAAAGGGCATAAACATACTACAAAGGTATACCTTTCTTCAGACCCAAATTCTCAAAGGCAATAGTTTATTGCAATTTTTTCTCCTCTGCAGGCCAGGGCTTGAGAAATAAGTGTCCACATACAGTCTACAGCAGATAAACTAGAGGTTTTGCCAAGTGTAGAAGCTTACATAGAGTGTCCATTCAAAGACGAGTAGATTACTGTACTTGGGCTGAAAAAGATGTCTGCTCTGCAGAAGCGTTGTGTCTTCCTAATGAGCCTGACAGAAACCTGTCTTTCATATGCACCCAATGAAAAGGCAAATCCTGATAGTAAAGCATGCCACATCACACAGAAGCAAATGTAGTGCAGTCTGCAAGAAACACTCTGCCCTTTTTATTCCTATTGCAATTGTGGGAATTTTTTTCTCAGTAGGTATTATTAACAGAATCTTCAGACCCAACTCAGCTGCTTACACTCATTTAGGGAAATATTTTATGATAAACATCCCCCACTTGTGAGAAAAGGGATCAAAAGCAGAGACACCAAAAACAGTTTGGAAAAAATCACCTAAAAATGTAATACGGAGTAAAAGAACAAAAAGAAAACACAGGAGGTACAAATACTTACACAAATTCCTGCCTTCAGATGGATGACCTTAGGGTTTTTTTGTGATAGGAAACAAATTGATGAACCTCCCCCTCAACAGTTGCAACACTTGGGTAGTGGGAAGCCTCACAATTGGCAGGCAATGCTTCAGCAGAGTTCTCCTCTACTACTCTGCTCACAACCAGGTTCAGTAACTCTGTTGGGAGATCAGGTCACTGCGGGCAGAGCATAACTTGCAAATCCTGCCAGTTCAGTGGTGTTCTCCTACTAGATGAGAGAACACCTGCTTAAAGTCATCCCTGGAAGTTTGTCACCAGGTAAAGCTGCAAGCAAGCCGTAAGTCTGTCAGCATCTAAGTCACTTTGCACATAGATCCTAACTGCAGAAATTTAAAGCTTACAGAGTTTGGCAGGAGCAGAGCTGAACTGCAAATGACAACCAACCTGCCTTTAAGAGGCAGACAGGTGCTTAAGGTAGCCCAAGAATCTGTGGTTTGGTGATAGCTGACCCTGTGAAAACTGGACCACTAAAAAGTTGTCCTTGGCAAAAGATTTTTTTCTCCTCCAAAAAATTTACACATTTCTTTAATAAAACAAGAAGTTCTGAGACTCTAGGATAGGCAGATCAGACACTATTCAGTCAAGAATACAGAAATCAACAATAACACTACCAAAGTCAAGCATTTCTTTTACAGTTTCTTATTTCAGCAAGGCTATACCCCCCCAGTAGTTTTAGAAATGAACAAGAGCTTGGTACTGCTAATCCTCTAAGATAAAGCTGCTGCTTCTTAATGCTGAGGCCCTCCTAGTGCCACATGAACTAGAAACCTGTACAAAGAGGACCTGATCAAGTTAAAACAATCAAACCCAAGTACCTAATTCACTATAATCACTGCATTCAGTCAGTTTTACAGAGCCACTTAATCAACACCATAGTAACATTTTTAACAGATACAACTGGCAGCCAAGATGTACATAAACAAAGATAGGGATCATGTCAACTGCTGGGCACGTACCGCTAGCCACATGACTGCACCTTAGGTTCACAATACTTTGAGCTAAGAGGTATGCTACTTGCAGAATGGGCTCTTTTGCTGTTGCTTTCAGTGGAGGGAGGGTAAAAAGAAAGTTTTAAAACTTACTTTTTCTAAGTCTTTAATGTAACCTATGATTATGGTTATTTTCTGTTAAAGATGATTGCCACAACATTAAAGGCAGCACAAGCTATGACATTTTTATAAATTTATACTGCAAATGCAGTTCCAAACTGACACATAAAAGCCACAATCTTTAATCAAATTACCAATCAACAATAACCAAGTCCCATGATCTCAGTTAACCAAATGCTAACAAAGTAAAATTTACATAAAAATCAGTTATTCTGCAATTTCTGAGTTTGACTGCAATATACTACACAATGAACATAACTCATACTGCCAGGAACTAAAATAGTGAAGAGCTGAGATCTTAAAAGAAAAAAAAAAATTACATCCTTTAAGTTCCTTTTTTTAGTAAAATTAGAAATTTTAACATTTAACACATTTCTCTGCCACAAGGGGAAAGCTGCATGAACTTCTACCCTATATGCTCCAAACACCACTACAGTTAGTTTTTAAAATGACAAAATGCGAAGAGCGATCATTCATTGTGTTTGCTAAGTTTCTAATCAGCTGTCTGCAGATGACTCCCTCTCTATTTTCATTAAGTGCAATTGTTGTTGGCTTCCCACATTTGAATTTCTTTTTTTTTTGCCCCCAGTAAGTCACTTCAAATCTCTATTCGTCTCTTGAAGTTAGAAGCTCACATTCTTTTTCAATCTTACAGTGTCTACCAGCCTGAAAAACTCTCTTCCAAACCAGCTACAGAATACGTACATCCCAATTCATGAACCATGTCAAGAGCAGGGCACCTTTCCATTTGTGTTTTGTAGAGCACTAAAGAAAAAAATTAAGGCAGCAACATCTGACCCTATTTTGCAACTGTTATCAACACTACATGTATGAAACCAAGGAAAAGAAAAGTTAGTCACACACATTCAGATGGATTTTAAAACACTTAGTTCTATTTTCTTGAAGTTTCATTCAGAAAGCATCCTATAAGGATGAAATGCTGCAGAGCTAAGGAGGCTAATCAAAATAGTCCAGCTTTCTTGATAACTGTTAAGTATCAGAAGGCAGCAAAAGCTACTGGCTTGCCAATTTTGCATTTGAGTTCATTCTGTTCTTGCGAAAAGGTACACCAATGAGACCCTTGAGTATACTTCTAATAATGCCAACCATTCTTTGAGTCACAATATCTAGGTCACTTCTCTCTTACATGTTGACAGTAAATACACTCTAAAAACAAAAATAGCACATCAATTTCAGCAATTTAAGACTCATAATAGCACTATGCACATACTTTTATAGCTTATATTGAAAAACATTTGCACCAGGAGGTTCAGATCCTTCCCAGTGATAGATCAGACAAGAACAGATCTTACTAGAGATGCTCAAGAGCCTTTTGTCTGTGAGCAATTGGGAGGACCTCTTGCAATTTCACAAACCACACAAAGTTCCTGCAAATGTGTTTCTCTCTAAGCCACCCACCTTTCAGAAAGTATTAGACTTTGACTATTATGGTCGTCTTCTTGGGATTATCTACTTTTGAGCTGTAACAGATCTCCCTTTTCAAAGAAATCATACTAGTTGGTACTCATCAACTTTAGTTACAGTGTGATGGTTGGAAGAAGTCTGTCCCACAAACCTAAAAGCTGTTAATGTTATCAGATACAGGAATTTAAACTATCACCTCTTATACCCAGTCCTTCTGGTGATGTTTTAGCTTAATGAAACTTGCCAAAAAAGCAAAAGTAAAACAAGATTTGAAATGTTCATTAGCTTGATACAAGCTAATCTTAAGCAAGATTTCGTAGGCCAACTGTGCCAGATTGGTTTGCAGAGAGTGAAATAAGCTACTGCAGTCAGCTGTGCACACCAGCAGCCTAGCAGATGGACTGCAGTCTACATCCAGCCCAAAACGGTCTAGATACATCTCCCAGCAAATTTCTTCATTCTCCTTGACCACAGGACCCACAGCACGCTACTGAGATGCATGACCACCACAACTTTCAGCAATTCGAACAGTCATACCCAAACTTCCACCAGTTCCCTAGACACAAAAGGACATGACAAGTAGTTGTTACCAACAATAAACAGACAGGGAGGGAAAGCAGCTGTGTGGAATCAACTCACCACCGAAACAGCTACTGCTGTTCAAGATTGGGCAAGGAAAGGAACAGACTAGCCTACTCATGCCTAATTTTTCTGATCTAGTCCCATAAAAGCCCAGCTGAACGAGCACTTGCAGGCATTATCGCTTAAGGGAGCACACAAAGCATTTGAGCAAGCTTGTCTACAGGTATGTACAAGAAGTTTTGTGAGGAAGTTGAGAGGCAGAAGAAAAAACTGTGTATGCTTTCTTTAAGCACGTTGTTCCTCCTCTTTCCTCCTCCTTGTATTAAAGAACTACATGCATTAGACTGGTAACATTCATGTGCATGATGTTACATGCACCAATGTATATACGAAACCAGGATTTGAAACATCTAAACCTTTTTGATTATACCCATTTGGTACGCTGGAAAAGAGTTACAAACTCTTCATTTCAGCTCCAGTTCTCTCAGTCCTCCCTACAGAGAGAATACTACAATATTTACTGCAGAGCACAAATTATTTACCATCTCAAAGAGAAAATAAGAATGCATAAACCTCCTGAAGTTTATAACTAACTAGGGAAGGGAGATAACTCAAGGTTTCGTAGCACCAGCTTTAGCTGGAAGAGATGCAGCCTACCAAATCAGGATGAGAATTACTGTTACTTGTAGAGAAAATTATTTTCACACCTCTATGTTGTAATACATTCTAAAGATCAGCATAAAGCTAAAAAATGCTTGCCAAATACTCCTAGAAAAGTTAGGAAGCAGCTGAGAAATAAAACTATTGCAAAGAAAATTATATAGTACTTCCACCAAAAGAAAGCTAGCCATGATTTCTTCAATTAGGAGAAATGCCTTTTTGTATTCACAGCAAAAAAATAATTTAAAAAAAAACAACAAAAAACAAACGAAGTACTCTGAAAGAATGATTTCCTTATTTCTATGAGCCTTTAAAAGCAAGTTACATTTTCAGGTGATTTATGAAGTCACTGCCTGAGGTAAATGTTTATAAAATTTAGTTTTTCTTTATCACCTATTAAATCTTATATGCTTCATATTTGTATGCACTTATGTACTGTGTGAATCTAAACAGAGAACTAAGAACCACCACTCCTTATGAAAGTAGAAGGAAACCTTGTTTCTTTTCTTGAACACATTTCTAAACGCATGAGTGATTTTCCACACATGAATGATTCCTACTTGGTTATCAAATTAGATTCAAGGGAAAAGTCAGTCTTCTCCATAACCAGCAGAAGGAAAGAAAAAAAACAACAAAAAAAGAAAAAAAATCAACCTTCATTATTTTCTTGCTATTTATTATGTTGCTTGTTATGTACGGCAATTACGAGGTTAGTGAGACAGAACAACCTTTTGTAGACAATCTTCAGGTCTCTCCATTCCAGGAAGCTGCACATTTTCGGTTTGCGGGCTAATACAGTTTGAACAAGTTCCCTTGTGATTTTCTTCTTTTCTTTGTCAGATAATGGGACATACCACTTCTGGAGTCTCAGTTTCCCCTGGCGACTAAAAAGCAACATAAACTGCATCTGTTGAATTAGAAGGAGGGAAAAAAAGGATTAATCTCTGTCTCTTAGCTCTAAAAAGATTTCTGTGAGGAAAACCAAACAGAAAGCAAGACAGCCATCCAAAACCCGAACTACATTATGTGTTTCTATAGCGGTGGCAGATGTTACACAAGATTTGGAAGTACCGATAATACAAAGGATTCCGCTGAACGAGGTCAGTCAAAGCAAAGATAGTCAAAAGGATACACAAGTTTCAGAAACGGGTGTCAGAACCACCAGGTAGCGAGTGAATACACCCAAATTTCAGACAAACCATGTCCAGCACTGGTATGGTTGCATTTGCGTTTACTACAGAAAACGACAAAAAACCAGCACAGCCGCCTCCTCAAATACCCAAACTCATTTTCAATTCACCGGATTAGAGCCTTGGAGCAGGAGCAATTTGCACTTAAGGTCTTTTCGAAAAGCCTCAGAATACTTTAAAAGGCATTAAATCTCCCAACGGAGAGTCCTACGGCATAGAAAAGCCTAGTCTTTTCTCATGTTACACAAAAGGAGTAGAGATTAAGTGCTCTCCCTGCGGTCCTATGTTCCAGGTCTCGCTTCCTCTAAAGCGGTGATGTTGCAATTATATTTTAAGAGGAACTTGTCGGCTGTGTTTTCCAGCAGTTGTAACATTAAAGGAAATGGCTTTTCTTTTTTTTTTTTTTCCTTTTTGCTCGAAGTTGTATTAGGCAGAGGAAGTTTCCCAGGCAATACGGCAGACGTGAAACGCGACGAGAAAGCCCAGCCTAGTCCCGGGTGACAAGTCCGACCAGCGCCAGGACAGACAAGAGGCGGCGGCGGCAACAGCAGCGGCGGCTCCGAAGCCCGGCGGTGCCGGGGCGCTCCCTCCGTGGGGGCAGCC